CCTGGATTTCACCTGATGGTATGCATAGGAATCAGATCGATTACATCTGTGGAAAGAACCGCTGGAGAAGCTCAATATCAGCTGTGAAAACTAGGCATCTTGGTAGAAGGGGATATTCCTCGGAGAAGGACATGATGCTTAGAAAAGCAGAGGGTCACCAAAGGAGAGGAAGACCCTCAACCAGGTGGACTGACAGGTTGATTGCCACAATGAGCTCTTATGTGTCAGGAAATGCGAGGATGGCGCAGGATAAAACAGGTTTCAAATCTTTTGTTCTCGAGTCTCTATGAGTCATACTCATCTCAATGGCAGGTAACAACAACAAAATAGCTTCCTTCATCTTCTGGCCACAGCTCTCTCCATCTGTGCTCCAATTCCCTTAAGAAATGTTCTTTTTTCTTTCATCATTTATTCTGGCCTGAGTCTCAGCACCTTCTTTCCACCAAGTTTTGAACTGTAACTAATCACCAGGTGATAACACAGCTTGTGGAAGAGTATGCCAATCATTAGGAATAATTCGTTCATCTTCCACTAGAATACTGGTTATTCCAATTGTGTATGGATCTTGAACTTCATAATTTGTAATTGCCACCTTTAATTTTTAACAATTTAAAAGGTAAAGGAACATAAATAGCATTAATTCATCCAGGATTATCACCCTGTCTAATAATCAAAGGGAATAAATGCATCTACATCCCTTTGAGCCTGAACTTGTAAAATTCTTTGTTGAATTCTAGACACTGGTGGTGTTTATAAAGGGCAAGGCCATGTAGGAGCTGATTGAAAAGTAGCCTTAACAGATTAATAGGAGTAGGATTTTTTTACTTTCATTAACTCTTTTTTAGTTAACTATACCTCAGGTCCTGGACCAAAGTCAGACAAATCATCGTTATTATCAATATGGTGTGCATGTTTATCTTTCTCCTCAGTATCAGTACCCCTAGTGAAATCAGAATATTCTTTCTCTACCTTATTAAATTGAGTTAATGATGGATAAATTGGTATAGAGCACTCAGGATTAGGAGAAGGTGAAGAAGAAAAACTAGCAGAGTTTTCATATCCACCATTTTTCTTATTCTCCTTCTCTGTTAAGAATTTTTATTACGAGGAACTTAGAAAGGCTCTAAAATAATTTTAACCACAACGTACAGATTACAATAGTAATCTTAGCTCCTCTAACATGAGCCCTCTTTAAAATCCTATTACCTGTTTCCAATTTTTTAAATCTAAGGATTTTCATCCAGAAACCAAGAACAATAATGGTCACTCACCTTTAATAATATCATCATACACAAGGAAGAAAATTTACCTCCATTATGTTTTAATAACTGACTAAGAAAGCAACCGAAAGATTGGTAGCACGGAGACTGCCTCATACCTTCGGTTTGGTTTTTTCCTTTCCTTTTTTACCTCTTTTTCTTTTTCTTTT